AGATACCTACACTTCCAGTCCTATCATCCAACATCAATAAAACGTGGAATAATCCAATGCCTAAACAAGAGAGCAGAAAACATTTGCAATAAAAAAAGACATGCATCGAAACAGAATGTCAAAAGATCATAGTGTTTTAAACAGAATGGTTACACCTCCTCCTTCATCAAAAACTCCCTGAAGAAGACCACAACAGAAAGAAAGAAAAGATAAGAAAAACCCTACCTCTACTACTATTTACCTACCCTACCTGCAAAATTTCAGTGAAAAACTCAAATGCATAGCCAAGAAATTCAACATAGAAATACGGTTAAAATACTACAAGACATTAAGATCCATTTTTGTAAAAAACAAACAGCAACCTATCAATGAGAAGCACAAAAACATCATTTATGAAATTCTGTGTTCCTGCAATGAAACATACATTGGAGAAATGAGAAGAAGATTTGCAACAAGAATAGAAGAACATAAACACGGTACACGACTCATGAAAACACAAAATTCGGTCATTGCATACCACGCCATGTTAAATGGACACAAAATAAACTGGGAAAAAACTAGAATCATTGACACAGACAAATTTTGGAAGACAAGAAAAATTAAAGAATCATTTTATATTAACACAATTAAACCTTCACTAAACAGAGATTCTAGAACAGAGGTGAGTGGTTACAGGAAATCTCTCCTCCAATCAGAAACAGGGAAAAACCAACCAATAATAACACGCTCTCCACAATCCACCAGAATACTATAAAGACCGACTACACCATACACACACACACACACACACACACTGACCTGAAGACAAAATATGGAAGACTTTCAAAACATCATCCTCTACACTTGTGTTTCTACAACAGGCAGTTGCCGTCCATTCAACAAAGTTTCATCATGAATATCTGCCTAAGCAATCTATCAAAGAAGCTCCATTATTATTCTACCTATATAATCATAAGATCCTACAAAATACAGTGCTGTTTTGGACAATATTTAATAGATTACCTTTCTTTTTTTACTTTTACATTCAGAATTAGTATATTACTGTAGTAATTGTGAAATCCAGCAGCTCAGATAGGTCAAGGCATACAGGTTTCAATACATAAAATGTGTTCCTTTTATTAAAGTAACAACAATAACTTAGAAATATAATATTCAGATCTATTCTCTTGTTCTAGACTTCATTATTAGATTAAATATTTTACTGTCTCTACCCTGTCTTCACATTAATAGAAATTGTTCTACCTTTTCATATTCTTCCAAGTTGGTAAAACGCTCTTTTTGAATCCTAGTAACGTATAGAACATCAGTATCTTGCAGTGCTTCTTCAAGAGTAGAAACTTCCTCCTTGAGATGGAGTGAATTATCAATTCAAGGAAATTTGCTCCAAACTTTCATTTATTTATTATTATTATACAGAAAATTACAATACAAAATTATAAATATAATGAATTAATAAGGATTGGAGAATATTACTACTAAGTAAAAAAAAAAAAACGTTTTTAGAATTTAAATTACAACTGATTATAAAGTGCTAATTGTATTACTAGATTAAATGATCAGAAGAAAAACTCCTTAGGATATTTAAATCTTAAACTTTTTTTGATAATCTTTTATTTTAGATGAAAGCTAAAAACTCTACTGCTTTGAAAAATAAATGGCTTATAGCATTAAAAATATTATAAGAAATTAGATTTGGACTACTCCAGAGCTAACTGTTAAGGAGTCCATTGTAAAAAAACAGATACAAGACCTGTGAAGTAAATAGTTTGCAACTATACAAATGTGTAAAAAAGTGAAGGACAGATGCAAAATCCAGTTTGGGAATTTAACAAAAATAAATATTTTTTAATAAGTAACAGCAAATAATAGTTACGTCATTATTCACTGACATTCTTCACTTCTGAAGAAAAATATCCTATTACTTAATATACTCCAATAAATTAAGGCTGTATTAACTTAATATGAGACACTGGGATATTTTATGTTACCCCAAGACCCAAACAGCTTGAACTAAACTATCACCATAATGGATATTGTTTAATTTTTTCTTTAGATCTACTACTAAAATAAAGACAAATAGAAGTGCATCAAATGTCTTCTATACTTAACATAAAAAATGAACAATGATAGAATAAAGCATCAATAATTAGCTGGTAATGAGAATATGAAAGATAATAGAAACTCTGAAGAAAGAACTTGCAATAAACTGAAATATCTGCTTACAGAAACTACAGTTAAAATATTTCATACTTCAAGCTTCTGTCTTGATAACATATTAACACAGCAGCTAAAGGAGTTGGACCATTGTTCTCTGTTGTAATGGATCTTTTACTGTTGTTTATGATGAACACATGTTTAATTAAACACAAAATGTTGAGAATAACTTATAACATAGAAGAAATACAAACTCAAAGCACAGTTTAATTGATTTTTCTGGCCAACTGCGGGATTTTCACTCAGTTTTAACCACTGACCCAAGGGTTTGCACTTATTACACACATGCACTTAAGTTACCATATTCCTAACCATTAGTTTTGTAACTTCTTTATGCAATTATTGGTTCTTTAGGTCTTTCTTGGGACTGGTCTGGAAGAAGGTTGAGCTTCCATTAAATTAAACCAAACTATTAACTTTCTGAATCTTGAAAACAAAATATATTTCAGCTAATACTCAGAAATAAAAGATTTAATGTCGACCAACACTAACCAAGATTAAAGTTGGATTTATGACAAGAAACAGAGATACATCATGCAAAATAAAGGTAAGGGCACTTGCTTCAGTTTTTTGTGTTATTTTTCACTCTTATTCCATGAATAACATCTAGAAAACCAAAAAGGTGCTATAAAAGAGCTATTTAAATCCAATCTTTCATTATGTTTCAATATCTAAACATGAAGAGACATACACTTGTCTCTGAAGAAGTTTAAATTATATTTTATATCCAGTGATATACATTCTTCTATGATGAAGTTTACATTGCATTTTATATGAAGTGATATGCACTTGTCTTTGATGAAGTTTAC